AGGTCCCTTCTAACCCAAACCATTCTATGAAATCCTGAACTTTCTGTACTTTGCCTTGTAAAACCTGTATCTTGAGAACAGACAGCAAAACAGGCCCAGACACCTCAATCCCTGACCCTCAAGTATTCCTGGGCCCAGAACAAATCATAGAATCATAGAACATAGAATCATAGAATGGTGATGCAGCCCAGGACACAGTTGGCCTTCTGGGCTGCAAGCGCACACTGCTGGCTCACGTTGAGCTTCTCATCAATCAATACCCCCAAGTCCTTCTCCTCAGGGCTGCTTTCAATCCATTCCTCGCCCAGCCTATAGTCATGAGATCATCCTGACTTTAGTGACACCCAGATGATACTTACTGTTGTCATATGACCGTTGCTGAAGACTGCAGAGAGAAATCACCTATAGTTTCTAACCTGTAAATCTAGCAGAAAGCAAAGCAAGAACCTCTGGCAGTTCAAAATTTGCCTACAAGTATGCCTGACACTCTGTCATTCCAATGGCTGTTTGCCCCAATCTGACTTTTTAATGCTTTACTGTACATGTGTCTCTTCTCTTCTGTTTTTCCCAGCTTATCCTTTCCTATGTAATCTCTCCCCACCATCCCACAGTCCCAAAGGAACACAATGAATGTGTTTTGATACCACTGCACAGCTTACGGGGTATCGTTCTTCCCCACAGTGCATCTATCTTGACTACTTGATCCTAAATTCTGTTAGATAGAGTCTCTATGCTATTCTGTGTTTATACAATGATCAATTAAATAACAAATAACTAACTAAATAAATCCCAATCTTGGATGGTCTGTTACCACACAAAAGGAAATCATATAGCTGATTTCAGTGTGTTTGCCTCGTGATTTTTAAACTGGGTTTACTTACCCCATAGGAATGACTGGATCTTTTTTCTTCTCTGAATTTACTCAAATTCTGAATTAGTTCACCGTGTTTAACTGAAGCACAAAATAAAGGAGTCATTCTTAGCTGCTTCTGTGTGGTCAAGTAGATCTCTGATTGATATCTACAACTCTGCAAAAGACATTAATTTCATTTTGCTTTCTAGATAGTAGAACAACAAATCATCAAAACTTAATAGCAGACTAAGTATTAAATCCTATGCAGTTGTTTTCAACCTAGGTGGCTGGTGGGACATAACTTTCTAATTTTCTGTTTCATTCCTTGACTAAATATTTAAAATGATAAACCATCAGAAAAATGGAAATCTTTTCTTAACTGGAGGCTATGTTTCTTTGTTTCATCTACTTTTTTACCAGAAAAAGCAACTATAAAATAAAAATAGCAATGTTTGCTAAGTGTGTTTGCTTAAAGGATAGGACAATGGAAATGACACAGTGGACTGTGTGTGAAATGGGCCCACATATAACATAGAAATTGTGGAATCAAAGAGATAAAAAAACCCCATATGTCTTTAAATCTGGAACTTAGAGCTTAAATAACATAGACAAGCTTAAATAACATAGACACAGAATTATAAAACAGGCAGGAAAGCAGGTGGCCAGAAAAAATAAATGGGTTGTCCTTATGTAGGTCCATCCAGTTATCTCAGTTTCCAAACATTAGTTAATATAAATTCTGAAGAGATGCATGAGAAAACTAAGTATAAGAAGTATGGGGTTTCACTGATCTCTTTTTATACACAAGGACTGCTTTAAAAAATAGTTTACTTACTTTCCAAAGAGAGTTCAGCACATTAGAGATTTATCAAAAAATTCTATCATACACATAGTAAGTAAAAAGGGACACTTCAGTACCTTAGCATGATGCTGTCATCAACTGCCAGTTGAGGAAAAACAGAATCTGACCACAGGGTTCTAAAGATTAAAATTATGGTCTGCAACATCACACCCTTTTTTTCCCTTGCCTCCTACACACAATGTTTTACTGCAAAAATAGGTTCAAGCCTTTTGTCAATTGAAATAATCAGTTTAGACAACTGTGATCTCCTCTTGAGCATACAGCATACGTCTATACTAAAAAATTAAGCTAGTATATATAGAAGAGCAGAAGTCACTGGATATCTCTTGAAGAATGCACTTGAACACTAGTTTAATATTACCATAAATTATAATATTTGATTGTCTAATTGTATCTCATGGTCTAAATCTTCAAGTCTTATAGCTAGCAAATCTGCCTTGAGATTCGTTTCACTAAAATAATGTAATTACTAGATTAATTATGAATCTTAAATTTGAGTAATATATTAAATCTTACTTTGTCCTAAAGAAAGCATGCATCTATGTAAGCAAGTAACAAATCATAGAAGTTTTCTGCTCCTAGATTGTTTTAGTTTTGTTTCAAAAAAAACCTCAATGTTACTTGTTTGGAACTTAAGCAAGTATAAGAAAAATAAAATTTATGCTGAAAGTAAAAGTATCTACAAAGCTACAAATGTAGAAGCTACACAAATATAGAACAGAACGATTTGTAAAGCTCTACACTAGGGATCTTCCAGAAAACCATATTCCCAGCCAATAAAAATCTGAACTAGCTTGCTCACTCTGATATGGTACAGAAGATTGGTATAAATTGTATCTGATTAGTAAATTTTGAGTTAAAAATTGACATTCAAGTTCCTGTTTCTTGATTTCCTTTCCTATTCAACATTACTTGCCCCTTTCTCTAGTGTGTTCCAGTAAGAAATGAAACTGTTGTGAATCACAGTTAGTTCTCAGTCAGGATTATTTTTGTAGCTTTAAAAAAAGAAAAGAAAAAACAGCAATTATGCTAAACAGTTATAAAATTCTTTCCATTTTGTTGTTTCATTTTCATTTAAAAAAAATCAGCCATGATTTATAAACTTACAGGTTTGTTTTTTTTTTTTTTTAATTTCTCTTTTCAGCTGAGGAAAAAGAAGATGCATGGCAATTCCTTCCCAAATAGCACCCATGTTCTGTAGCAATTCTTAATTTCAAATGTAAAATACAGTTTCTGAATATATTAGCCTGGAACTCAAAATAAGAGTGCAAAATGGAGCATGAGCATAGCCAAACTCTACAACTAACCAGAACATTTAACAGAAAGCAAATTCAGGCATGCTAAAAAAAAAAAATAGTTTCAGTGAGCATTAAATATTTAATAACAGGTAGCAGAACTACTTTACAGCTGAACTGAATTTTAGGTCCAATTTGGCAACTGGGTGCAGGCAGATGCTCTCACTAGAACCAGCTGAGGCCACATAACACAGCAGGGGAGACACCCATTCACCAGATGGGACCTCATTTTTATTTTCTTTTCCAGCCCTGTTCTCTGGGATGCCATGCCACCTTCTGGCCTTCACCCTTTTCTTCACTGCCATTTTTTGGATAAATTGGTGTGGTTTCCCCCTGAATTCCAGCTAGAGCCAGCAGAGAGCCAAATATCCACATTTTTAGGACTTCAAAGCTCTCTGAATCCCCTTTCTCTCCATTTTAATGGGGGGAAAAAAAAAATCAAGGGTGTTTCTCAACAGCTTTTCCTTTTTTGTTTAGCCATAGATGCAGGAACATGGCTGAACTCCAGTGGGGGATGAAGAGGAACAACTTCCCACCACCTAGGCAGGCCACAATCCTGGGAGTCATGAGGACAGCAGACCGACTAACATGCCTTGTAGACTTTACAAGAATGGAGCTACCTGGCCATCGCTGGAGCCGTAGCGAGCACAACCTCCACAGAGGCGAGGGGAGGGCAGGCCAGACCGAACCGAACCAAACCAAGGCGCTTGCTTCGCTGAGGCTCTGCTGGCGGGAACCTCCTCAGTACCCAGCCCACTCAGGTCTGCGGCAGCCTTCTGAGCGATCCCCACCCACCTGCATATAGGATTGGCAGAGGCCATGTCACTCATATCGGAGCCCGTCTGCTCACCGCAAGTACTTAGCTGCCTCCAAAACAACACCTCCTGCTCTTCCAGGGCACCTAAAGATTAGTTGCGAGAACTGCTAATCATAAGCGCTCTTAAGTTTGATTGGCTCGAACTCGGAAGGGGGTGGGCTCTTTGGTCCGGCGGCGTTTACCGTGCGTGAGGTGAAGGCTGTTGAGGAGTGGGGAGGGGTGTTATTTCTTTCGGTGGGATTGCTCAGGCCTGGGAGCTGTCACCGCCTTGGGGCTCCGCAGGAAAAACAAGAGCCCGGCGGTGCTAAGCCACGAGTTCGTCATTTAGAACCATGCGGATACCGCGTCCTGCCTGGTGGTGGGCCTCCTGCTGGGGCTCGTGTTTGAGGTACTGGGTGAGGTGAAGGGGGCGAGGAGGCCGGTGGTTGTGGAGTCGAGCAGCACCTGGTCCTGCTGTGGGGCAGCCGCGGCGCCCTCGGCTTCCCGCTCTGGAGCTTCCTCAGGACATCCCTCCCGTTCGCTTCAGCCTCGCTGCCAAGCATCTCTGCCCTTCCCCGGCCGGCTCGGCCTGGCTTTTCCCTTCCCTGCAGGGCTATGTCCCTGTTTCTTCTCTGTCCCGAGGCCTGACTCCGTGACACCCTGCTCGGGTACTCTCCTCTCCGTTCTCGGCTGTCTTCTGAGTGCAGCAAGTTTCACTTCTCTCTGTTCTGCCCCTGCTCATATACTCCACAATGCTTTCTCTACTGAGTTGTCTTTGCCAGCTCTCGCTCTCTCTTCTCTCTTACCCTCTTTGGTCAGGTTCTGCTCTTTTCTTTTCTCGTCTGGTTTTCCTTCATCTCTGCATATGCTTCATTCCTAGCACCCTCCCGTAAGCCCTCTTTTACTCAGCTCCAGTCTCCGGAGTTAGAAAGCTCTTCAAGCCACCTTGCTTAAAGTAGAATCGGTTTATGTCTCTTTGTGTCTATTTTCTTTTTTCTTCCAGCCTCCGCAGTTCAAAAGTCCACGTGGTAAAGGTAGTTAGGAACACTGTTACAAAGAGGGTTTCAGACAGTCTCTGCTCTTGAGCATGCTTGACCAGATGGTAGGTAGAAACTGCTGGTCACCCTTTTGCACGACTGCTCAGTCTATTGCTGTCATTGTCTCAACTCCCTACTGATGGATAATCTGAAGAAAAATGAGGGATTAGGCAGTCTCAGCCTGATTTCTGAATTCCTCTTTGCCTTTGTATTTGAAAGTTGTTGTAAAGTTTATTTCCATGTGCAAGCTGCTTATTAGTTTCTGGGGTGATGAATTAGGCATCTCTCTTAGGTATCTTTTTCCCACTTTTGGGACAAAAGCCTTGTGTGTGTGTGCTGCTACATGAATATGTTATGTGGGTGTTGAGTATGGGATAAGACTTGGTTAATGGAGTTTAAATTCTGGATAGACAAATAATTTACTGAAATATTTCAACATTTCTCATCAGTTGGATAAGATTAAAAATCAGTTAATTTAAAAATAAAAGTACTGTTAAATTCTGAGACAAAATACTTGAATGTAGGTGTTCTGTCTTTACATATATATCTTGATCCACTTCTGAAAACATTAAAGATACTGGACAGAAATAAAGTAGAGAAAGCAGTTGTGATGGTCAGATAATTTCCTTCCAAATGGTGGTCAAATGTAAAGTTGTGTCATCTATGGAGGAGTATTTCATAAAAGTTAATATATTAAATGCAGAACTCAATCTTGGGATAAAATAAAAATAGCTAGGGGCTTGACAAGTCAGGTGATAAAGGCTTTAAGAAAGAAAGTAAATGTCTGCACTTGGGATAAAGTAAACCCAGTTTGGTATCCCCAATGGAACTTTTTATGTAACTTTATATATGGTACTTTGTAAAAGATACTGCTTTGCATCTTTTTGCTGTTAAAAACAAGTATGTTTTCTGGAGTTGCATCTCTGAATTCCATTTGTCTTAACTTAGGCTTTGTATACACCATGGAAGTTGTATTTCTGTAACTCTGCAGGTATTGGAATGGACTGTGCAGCTCCCCCAGGGTGAGTGTTATTATTTTGATGAAGATGATCTCATTTCTAGTCAGCATAATTCTAAAAGTTCAAAGGCAGATTAGACTCTTGTGTAGCTTGTGATATGCTTTTATTGTACTTGTTTGAATATATACTATTATACTTCTTAGTGTATAATTTAAACATCTGCATCTCATTTTTGATGCAAAAAATTACTTTTTTTGATGGAGACACCTTTCATTTAGTACGCAGAGGAACAGTGGTGCTATGTAACAGGTTAGACCTCTGTATTACACCCCGGCCTCATTCACTGCAGAAAAGCATACTGGAGTTATTTGAATGAAATCTATATTTCTGTTGTTCACTGTCTAGGTCTTCTACCATCTTTATAATAGGTAATCCAGTCTGCCAAACAAAACTACTGATGTTTTTCCAGTAAATCTTGATGATATTTATCATGATTCTACACTGAGTGCTTCATAAGTGTTACTGAACTTGCCTACACAGCTGTTATGATTTTCTCTCTGTATTAAAGTGAAATTATTTTCAGGTTTTAAGTTTGAAGCACTAAGGGCTCTTTTTTTTTTTTTTTTTTTAACCAGTGCTTTTCAGAACATTTCATGCTTACTGTGATTTCAGATGCATCCATCAATCACAGATTTCCAAATCTAGGATAAGGTTGTTTATCCATCTTAATTGTACTTTCCCATACTTTTAACTTTGCTGATTATTATGAAGTCTATAGATGTGCGTAGGGAGATTCACTCTGACTATAACATACTGAAAAGTGGCAGTTAAATTTTAAAGTGTTAACTTATTTTCTTTCTTCTTCCTTCTTTGAGAATATTTAGTCTTATATGCTCAATCCTACTCCTTTTCCTGACAACAGAGTGGGCCTTATCTTCTAAAGAAACCTTTCTTTTAGTATTTATGGTTCTTTTTAATCTTCTAGTATCATCTCGGAAAGTTTCATACTATTTCTTTCCTCCTAGAACAATTTACATCATCTTTGCATCTGGCTATCTTACCACAGAATACCACTTAACGGGGCTCCTATACTTCCAGCAGACCGAAACACTTGTAGTATTGTGTCCCTCACAGCAAAAAGAAAAGCTAACTTGCTGGGCTCTAGCAAAGATTTTTACCACCAAGAGCATAAAAAAAAGCTTATTCTCAGAAAAGCTCCTTAATAAAGGGATCTGCTTGAAGGTACGTAGTGCTGTCTGAATGCCCTTCTACAAGGGAGACTGTTGCTGTGGGTCCTGAGTGATGACTTACTGAAAGCAAGCATGTTTTAGTTAGGTGCTGATGACATCAATACCTATGTAACTATATTTTCCCTGTCTTTCCAGGAGCAATTGGCAATTAATTTTTCATGTCCTTATTCCATGGACATTTTAAGTTGATATTGTTGCTCTGGCTGCTTATTCACCTCATCAAGCACACAAAAGAGCTTCTGTAGCTGAGCAGTGCAGCATATTAGGAAATTCATCTGTGTTAAGATTAATAGGGTTTTCTCCTCCCTTCTGTTTTGCTGGGTCAGTGTAATTTGTGTAATTTTTCTCTCCAATTCACCACGCCACTACTTTTGATGACACAAGTGTGGGACAGAGACAAGAAGCAACTGGCAGTAAAGAGAAAAGCAGGATCGCTCCTTTTGATGGTAGTGCTAACAAAAGGTTAAATTGTTCCTTGAACTGCAGTGTCTGAAAGTCAATTTTGCATGCAGAAAGATTGGTACTTTTATTTTTCTTAAGGAGAATTCCTCTTAAAAGCACTCTTAAGCATTATGACTTGTCTGCTGTTTAATTTCACAGGTGCATTCTGAGTGTACTGAGGCAGTTTTCCTTCTCCTCCCTTTTCTTGCTACAGAAGATCTTTTGCATTGTTGTGTCTCTTGCTTATTTTGTAGCTAGATAAATTAATGCTTTTTTTTATATGCTCCTGAGTGTTCTTAGTTACACTTTCAGAAATTATATGGTGTAACATCTGAGGAAAATAGCTTTCTTTAAGTTTATGTGTCTTTGTTTTAAGTTGTATCTATGAAGATCAGTTTAAGAGAAACCATAAAAGATACAAGAATGTTGGTTGTTAGGTGTTTTTTTACATCAGTTTTCTAATGATGCCTGTTGTACAAACTAGATAACTGAGTGCTTGCAAACATAATAAATGTATTTGCTATTGGCAGTGTAGGATGTAATTCCATATTGCTGCTTTCTTTTTTTTTTTTTTTTTTTTTTTTAGCAAAGGAACCAGCTTGGTGTGGTTTTTTCCCCCTCATATCCCTGTATTATAGCTTACCACTCTTTCAGTTACATCACCACAACTGTTTGTTTTTGAAGTTGTGCAAACCAAGTAATTAAATGTTTTCAACTAAACTAAGCAAATGTATTTACCTCTTGTCACTACTCGGTTATAGGGTCATACAGTAATCCAGGTTATAAACAGTTCTATTGTTACACCTAAGAGATAAATATACCAAAGCATGGGAGTGGGAAGACATTTTGAAGAGGTAGGGATGGCTGAAAGTGTTGGGGTTTTGTCTGTTTGTTTTTAAAAATTAATTTTGCCACTGGAGAAAAAGTAACATAAAAATATACCATTGGTTACTTTGATTGTACTGTAATTTTTAGAAGATGCCTGATTTATTATACAAGAAATTGATGAATCTTAGAATTCTACTATGATGTTTTGAATACTCTATTTATATGGACACTTAGCCAGAACATCACTTGTTTTAATATCTTGCAGTTAGGTGAAACTTTCCATCTGATTTAATTTAGAGTCTTTTAACTTTTGAAATAAAAGAAAGCCATTTACACTTCTAAACACTTTACAATGTTATTTAGTAAAACACTGAGTAATTTGATCCTTAGCGAAAATGACATAATTCAAGTCCTAACCCTATGCAGCAAATGTTAAAGGATTTGCAACAAGGTGAGCCCCCACATTTGTGGGAGATGAGTAACACTTTTGGGACCTCTTTGATTTAAATTATGTGTGGGACAACATTTGTTGACAGTATAATCTTTTAAGTTTGGGTGTTTATAGTCTAGCTTGTTTGAAAAATCTGATATTTTTTCCTTTATTCTCTTTGAATTTCAGGACTCAGCCAAGTATGCCATTATCTTTATTGCTGTGCAGTACAATGTCACCTATACCACTAGTGAGATTAAATCAATTTTTTCCCCCATTTTCTTGTAGTGCAAGAAATAGCTCAGCTATTAAAAATTACTCTTTTTTTCCTTCAAGATTTCAATTCACTTTTATAATATAGTAGAATGCTCATATTTGTCTGTCAGCTTTTGGATTTACTAATACTATATTCACTGAAACATTCTAGTGTTTTCTCTGTTGCTTGTGAATAATACTGGGTTATTTTTCCTTTAGTTAACACTGCTACTAACTTGCATTTTAATGTGAAAAGCATGCATTCTTTTCAGATTCTTTTGATACAATCAACAGGACTTATCAAGTGACAGAATATTTTGGTAATCTTCTATATATCTGTTGCTTATTCATGATTTCTTATGTCATTAGTAATGGATTTGTGGTTTGTATTTCAAAAATATCACATTATTATTCTGAAGTTACTGATGTTGCTGATTCAGTCATGCTTTTAAATAGCAAAGGGAGAAAGTACTGATTCTCTTTTTTTCTTTTTTCAAAAAAAAAAATTTCCTTTTTTTAATCTTCTATACCTGTCATACTATGTACAAGAGTGGTAAGCAGCTAGTGGAATTTCTTTATTTGGTAACTTAATTTTTCTTAATAGTATTCATAACTTTCAATTCTTTGCAGGAATTAATCTGCACAGTGTCTTGGAAAAAACACATATTGTGATAGAATTATTCCAGATGGGGAACTAAGGTCCAGAGAAATTAGCAAAAACTATGAGTTTTTTTCTAATCTTGACTTCCAAACTTGAGACCTCTGTCTTGTGACTGTTCCAAACAATGTAGCACTCTGACTGCATTTAATATGTTCAAAATAATACATTGATCAGCTTTGCTTGTGGTAATGTATATAACTTTTTGCAGATGTTTCCTGATATATTTAATGTTGAACACTTGATGTGTACACAGTCAGTGGACTTCTGTTTTACTGATATTTGAGCAGCATCAAGTAGAAATCACTTGTAGCGGAGACAAAGTAAAATCCATGTGTCAGTTACCAAGATGCCTTTGATGTGACTTCTTCATAGCATTTGTTGCGTGCCTGTGTGTGTATGTATGTGTACATATACATACAATGAAATGAACACAGTATAGCTTCCTCTAGTTTTAATAGGAGGTGTGGATAAGTTCTGCACAAGCAATTTTGAGGTCTCAACTCTGGCCCTCTGAAAACAACCTGAATATATTACTAGTGAATGTCCATTTTTAAAAACAGTGCTAGGGACCAGGCAGAAATAGCATTTGCTATGCAGTTACTTGTTCATTGATTATATCACAAGCTGCTTTCAAACACAGAAATAGGACATCTGACACTTTGAGTTACATGGATGTCCTGTGCATTAGGACCTTAACTTACCATTCATGTAACAGGGGGCAATAATTGCTTCCTTGACACCTTCTAGCCTAGTTTCCTTTAGTGGGTGTGGGGGGAAGTTGTTTGATGTCTGTATTTCTGCTGTTTTGCGTTTGGATAACACAGAGTTTGAAAAAGGATAGAAATCTTAAAGATAACAAAATTCCTTGATGTTTATGAAAAGTGGCGGCTGTATAGATAAGAGACATCCAAATTAATGCCCTCTCTTAAGTGAAAGCAGAGAAATGTAAATGTTAGACATGCTAGCCTGTAAATCAAGATGAGCATGGCTCTTGATTAGTTGTAGTACAAGTTCTTTCTTTTCCATTGTAGTGTATCAGATGCATAAAGAAAAGTGAGGTTGTTGTAATGGGTGTTTGTGAGCTAAAGAAGAGATGTCCCTATAAAATAAGGCTTCCTTAGGTCTACTGCTCCTGATACTTGGTTTTTTTTTTAAATTGAATTTCATTTGTAAATTCTCCCACACTTAAACATGATAAATACAAACATTTGAAGTATTTTTGTAACAATGTGAATGTTCTTTTTGTTTTGCAATTTTGATTTATAGGAACATATTACTAATTCTGGGGAAAATGTTACTTACCAATGTGTTGAACTACTAGGGGTACTAGCCTCACTATATAGGTTTTTTTCCCTTTTTAGTCATGCTTCTTAAGATGGAATCTCATTTGGTCTCTACCAGAGTATAGAGGATAGTGTTGGTGGGTTTATTTGTTTTCTTCTTCCCCTCCCTCTTTCTTTTTTGATGGCCTAGATGGAAAAAAATTGATTGAAGCCTCAGCTCAGCATATACTGCTCTCAATACTTCGTTCTAGGCTTATAACTATATCATTGTATTGAAGGAGAAGAAGTTTTAAGTTATCTAATCGGGCATAAAAATTGATTTTCAAAAAAATAAAACTTATAACTAATATTCTGTAGCAATTTAACAAAACATCCAAAATCAATAGTTACTGCTGCCCTTTTTCAGTTGCACAGAGTACTCCTTCATAAGAACGTAAAAATACACATTTTTTTTTTTTTTAGATGACAACAGTGAGCAATTTCATTTTTATGACTATGGTCCAAAAGACATTGCCACAATCTTCTTCTACATGCTCGTAGCTATTAATCTGCATGCAGTAATCCAGGAGTACATATTAGATGTAAGTTTATTACTGGGATACAATTTCCTTTTATAAACGTGTTATTTTTAGCCATCACTTGCTAAGAGTTTTTCTTCAAGGTAAGGGTAAGCCATGCTACAAGGAATGGCTTAGCATTTAAAAGCTCTGTTATGATCAATCCTTTTGTTCTTTAACAAATTGCAAATAGACCTTGGTTTAGTGGTGGACTTTGCAGTGATAGGTTAACAGTTGGACTTGATGATCTTAAGGGTCTTTTCCAACTTAAATGATTCTATGATATTTTTATATTGTTATTTCCTCAATTTATTAATGGTATAAACCACTGAATCTTTATTTCAATAATATGGCATATTTTTCTGTAAAAACAGACATTAAATGTTCATGTCCTACTCAAAATATCTGTGAATTAGATCTATAGCATTAGATTCAGAAGATATATTCAGAAGATCAAAAATTAAAATTACTGCAGTGGTGGATTTCTGTTTGTCAGTTGAGCTTCATGTGAAAGAGGGAGCTCAAACTTCATTGTGTGCTCTTTTACACCAACTCAGTTGCAAAGTAAAATGACTGTTAAAGCCACTGTGAAGACCATCTCTTATTGAATGGTCTTAGAATGTCTTCACAAATAGGTGATCTGAGCCACAGAAGCTCAAAAGGTTTTTAAGTGTGCAAAGAGACTTGAAAAATTTAGCAATATGACTGATTATGGGTTGGGGAAAAATTGTCCGAATATTTTTCCATGTGAACTTTACCATAATGGCAAGTCTTGTTGAAGCTCATTGTATACAAAGTGCTGATCAAGGTCTTAAATAGTGGGAGCTATGTATTTTCATTGAGGAATGGGAGATTTGGGGAGAAAAAAAATTCAGGAGTGAATACTAACTCCCAAATAGCTTTCTTGTTGTAGAAATTACATTTATTGATCTGCTTTTTGTTTCTAGAAAATTAATAAACGTCTGCATTTGTCAAAAACAAAGCACAGCAAATTCAATGAATCAGGACAGCTATCATTTTTCTACTTCTTTTCATTTATATGGGGAGCATGTATTTTGAATGCAGAAAGTAAGTCACTCTATTTGCTGTTTTTATTTAAAAATAGGCTTTAAGTATAAAGAAGATCCTTAAATCAATGGCCTTTTTCTTTAGGAACAATTAATGAAGAACCCAACCTTTCTCTGGAAAGATTATCCCCATCCTTGTATGCTGTAAGTGTTCTATCTTCAATTTGAAAAAAACCTGGTACTTCTAATCACTGAATATTTAACCATGCCAAATTTTAGGGAACCATTAATAGGGTAGTGACACTGGTACCTTATAAGAATGACAGCTAGAGGAAAATACTTTCTTCTGTTTGAAAACTGCCGGCTGTTTTATCCAAAGGCAATTTTTGATGAATTGAACATTATCCAAGAGATACATGTGTTCTTAACTTTCTTTAACTTAACTATGGTAGCTGGGTTAAAGTGAAAGTGTTTGCAAGATGGCATATATAATAGGACTGCTGAACTGTTTCGCACTAAAGAGGCACGTTTGACGGAGACTAAATTTTCAAATTAGCAGAGATTTATAGCTTGATTTTTATCTTTTTTTAAAATTAAGATGACTTACAAAATTGTGTTGTTTGTCTGTCCCTCGTCCCTTTCCCCATTTTTCTCCATTTTTCCCCAGCAAGTGTGATAGAAGGAAGGGGGGGGGTAATACACATTTTTTTAGGAAGGGAGTTAATTCCACTGCTCACAGGATAAACTGTTTCTGTGTTAGGGTTTTTGGTGTTTTTTCTTTCCTACTGTCTCAAAAGATGGTACAGAACTTGCTATTGAGAAGATTATGGGTGCTAATTCAAAAAACTATCACCACAGAGTTGTTCTGTATTTGTGGTTCATTTGATTTACAAATCATAAACTATAATGAGTCAGAATGAATTAATTTAGATAATGAAATAAAATCTTGTATCTCATGTTGAAAGCTTGAAAACTTACCTTGTGTTTTCTTAACCTGAATTGTTGTTTAGTTTTCAGATAAAATTCTTCTATATTTGCCAGATAGCCTATTGGCTTCATGCACTGCCAGAGCTATACTTCCAAAAGATACGAAAGGTATGAAGAGTTGTCAATACAGTTAATTAAATATCTCTTCTTTCCAATTTTTTTTTTGTTTATATTAACTATATAAACATCTACATATTCATATTTGTATATTCAGTTAGTTGTATGCTATTTATATATTTTATTTGCTTGCATTTCCTATCTAATTTAGTCTAGGTGGCCTGTAGTTTTTGATTCAGATAGTCTTTCCAGAAATGTATACAGTAGTATGAAAAATAATCAAACCTAATGATTGATATGATTTTTCTTTGGACAATATGGTTAAACTGTTAAACAGCATTTATTATAATTTTCTAATTTTAGGAAGATATTCCAAGGCAGCTACATTATATTTGCCTTTATATTGCTCATATCTCTGTTGCATATATATTAAAGTATTTGCATGTCTACTTTGAATAGATAGATCTATTTTGTTCACAATTTCATTAAAATTTCTACCTTTTATGTTTTATAGCTTGCAGCATTTGGGGCTAATTCTGATGGTACCTCACTATTTAGTGGAACTCATTTTTCATGCCTCACGTCTTTTCTGCTTCAGTGATGAAAACAAGCAAAAAGGGTAAATCTTGTATCTATTAATTAAAATTCACAATTTTGCGTACTAATTGCATATAAATGAATTTGCATGTATGTAAAAGTACTGAGGTAGCAAACATGACTTATTCAATGTCCGCTATTACCTGCTTTGAATTCACAAGCAAGTCATTGTCATTACATAGAGTGAAGGAAGCAAATACACCCTTTCATCATCATCATCATCAGATTTTGCTGAAGCTTTTGCTAAAGTCCCATCTCAAATATCTATGTATTGGCTTCTGATTCTGTAAGTTGCCTGCTTGCACAGATGTTCATAAATGTTTATATGCAGGGACAGTTGTTTTTAAAAACAGTTAATCAAAGCAGTAATAAAAGTACCATTCCCTGTAAGTTCTTGTAGGTCTCTCTCCTTTTGGTGAGAAAGGAAAGTAGCTATACAACAGAGAAGGTAATGTCTCTAAGCGTGTAGTTGGTAAGATGCCTTCAATTATACATGTCTTGAGTATGTATAATTATATGTATGTATAATGTTCTGCTAAAAATTACATATATATCTTGATCTTCCAACTGTTTAATAGATGTATATTATATGTTTAGGGTCACCTTTCTGGTGTTATAGCATCACCGTTACTTGTAAATGGCTTACAGCATGAATGCCAACTTGAGATGCATCTTTGTACTTCATTATGCTTTCTAGTCAAAAGATCACGTAATGAGGCAGGACTGAATGTTTGCAGATGACCAAGTTTTTCTGTAATTATTGATCTCCTCCATGGACATTTCCCTATTGTTGCTGAGATATTTTTAATGAAAAGTTCTTTTTATGCTTGACTTCATTGAAATGAAATGGACTAAAAGGAGAAAGCACATTTAATTTCATTATTTTGTTTTCAGATTTACCATTTGGGCTTTACTTTTTGTAATGGTGCATCTTTTGACCCTAACTGTATCTCTCCTCACATTTGGATTTGGTCTGACAAGAGTAGAGAGTCAAGGTTTTTCCACAGCAGATGGAAACTTCAGTGTACTCCCTGTGAGGTATAACAAGGCTAGTAGACATTCATGTTTGTATAATGTGGCATTTCAGAATATCTTTTAATAAAACAATCCAGGATGATAATGTGTTTTGAAGAATTTCCCCAGGTGATGTTTTCCTCTTGAGTTTTAAGGGAAGGGAAATTTTATTCTTTTTTCTATCTTCTTTTCACAAAAGTAGTAGAACAGAATTTATGGGAAACAGAAAGAAAAAAGAAACCTTTTTTTAATTACTTGTTGACAATTATCCAAAAAGGGTGGGATAATCATCTCATTAAAATTTGTTGTTTGCTTTTTGTTTGGGTTTTTTGTGTTGTTTTATAACAGACAAAAAGTATCATTTGGCAATATTAATACTCTTTTTTTTTTTTTGACTAATTATTTGTTTGGTGCCTTCCTAAAGTATTTTTTAAATATCTTTTATTCTTGGTTGTTAATTTTAAAATTTTATTACTTTTTCAGCGTAAGGTCATCACTTTAAAATTCACCCTTATAGCTTAATGCCTGTAATCAAGTGTGTGGGAGGGATTCTGAATCTACACGATTTCTCATTCATTGATTGCTCAGCAAAAGGGCCCTCAATGACACAATTTCCTATCAGCCACTGAAAGCTATGGTCATAACTCCTTGAAAAACCTGATTGCTTCTAGCAATGTACTTACATACAATTTCCATTCGCTTGTGTGACACACCTTGTCTTGGGTACAGCCTTCTGTTACATCTGGTTTCCCATGGTATGTAGATTTTAATTGTTTCGATAGTAGACTTTTGGAGGAAAAAATAAAATAGGTACAGATTTGCAGTCTATTAGTGGTTAACTAAAACTTTTATCTAACTGTTTCCAAAATCTCAAATCTTACTAGGATTGGCTGCCTGTGTGCTGTCTGTCTAACACAGGCCTGGATGATGTGGAAATTTACAAATTTTCAGCTGAAGAAATGGAGAGAGCATGTTAAGAACTGTATTTCAAAGAAAAAAATAACTAAAAAGAACAAACGAACAAAAAAGGAACCAAACAGAGGTCAGTGGAGTAATTTTTTTTTTTTTTAAATTGTTTCTAGGCCAAATGTTTTTATACCAGATGTATCATATTATATCTTTCCTTCCTGTAAAAGAGCAAAAACATCTGTCTTTTGACATGCAGAGAATTTAGAATATTATAGTTTATTTAAATATTAGGCCATTCTTTTCTACTTCTATATTGCTAACAGGACAGCACACAGAATGCTAACTGTATTAAGTGTTAGCCCTGGGTAATCTTCAGGATTATTCACTGAACTCTATGTTAATCTAAAAGCAAGGAATATTTCATGACACTGGGTTTAATGCTTCCAGGGTTTTCTTTCCATTTTAAATCAGCCTTTTACAATGCTGCTAAATTTTTTTTTAATTTAACATCAGAAAAAAAAATCATCTGAAATTCCTACTATATTTCATAAATTCTGCTTTTATTATGTTTCAGACCATTAAAATTAAATTTGTTTGTTCTTCTATGTAAAGATACATCATGCAAAGAACATCAAACCTACTGAAAAAGAGCTCCAAAGGAACACATAGTAGCTGGCAAAGGACAACTAATGCAGAAAAGCTTTTAATTAAATGATGTTGTCTAACTTCCAAATTCTAATGTTATATCAGTTAAAAGAGTTAAATGGGAGTTACAAAGATTTGGTAGGGTGAAATTTCATATTCTTGTTACATATATTTAAAACACTGGATAGAGTTATGTATAAAAGATTAGGAATCATTTCTGAAGTTTGGGCAGAGCTTTGAAAAATGCATTTTCTTGGGAATTTTACCACAGGCTGACTCTCTTACTGAAGTTGTTCTTTATGTATTAGTTTCTATTAAGAGGGGTTGAAGCTCTTCACATTCAGAGATTACTAGCTGAGTCAGCATTAGCTGAAACCAATAGGAAGATTCTAGACCATAATGGTGCTCATAACATTGCTTTTATTTATCATTCCAGAGCAGCCTTTCCTCTCTGAATGTAGCTGCAGATACTCTTTTTCTGTCTCCAGTCTCGCAGAGCCTTCTCTCCTTTCCAGATGAATAACTTCATTGCTTTTCTATGTTGTTTTATGAAATTAGTGTAATTCTGAAGTTCCTGAGACGATTACAGTTTGGAATAGCAGAAGCGATACTGCAGTTTGACTTCATGTTTGCTTCAATTGAGCAAAACAGAGTCGCACAGGCATTATAGCTCTCTGACTGCATGTGTGGAAAGATGTTGTGCATTGTTTATCAGTTTATCTTATTTTTGATTGCAGAAGTATTCACACTTGTAGAAGGAAAGCTTGGGTTCAGCTGAAGCCACTAGTTTAGTTGTGGGCATTAGCTGCAAGTCATTTCTTTAGCCTACCTGAAGGTAAATAGACTCCTCTTGTCCCCCAGCTTTTAAGATGAGAATTCAAACTTGTTTGCAGTTAATGTGTCTGTATAGTGGTTAGGCATGATTTGCATAGGATCTCCACAATATAGGAAAAGAATATATATTTGAGGTTGTTAGGTGTGAAGACTTACATAGCCAAAATAATCAAGTTCAGATTTAATTGGCAAAAGAAGGACTAGAAGTTAAGCGTACCATAAATCCTTCGTACGCTGCTTTGTTCCATCTGTCCTGTTGCAGCTTCTCTTTGGGCTGTGGCCTGAGCTTCTTAAGCTATTGACAGACAAAGCTAGTAAGCATGAAATGGCAGGCAGTCTAGGATAGCACATGCCTTACTAATGTAATGCTAAGAATGCTGTATAATAGGAAAAAAAATCCTAAGGAATCAGTAAAAATGATTTAAGAAATAATAGAGAACTAAACTAAGATCCTGGTTAAAGTAAGATGTCACAGAAGAAGAGACATTGGTTAATACTTAGTTAATTAGTAATTATTCAAAATATAAGAATGGTCAATTGGCACACTGAAGAGAGCTTACCAACAGGACCCAACAAGTTTCTGTGCTGACATATGCATAAATAAACTGTTGAGGTAACAAAGTCTACAAACAAAATTATTCTGAATTTCTTACAGCAGAGAGTTGTAGAAAGATCTTGCAAACATGGAATAAGTAAAAAAAAAAAAAAGGCAAATTCCTAATTTGCAATGCAATTCTGAAATTTCTAAGCTACTCAAAGTAACACACATTATGGAGGGAGGGAAAAGGAAACATAGTTTGTACATACACAGCAATGGACTTCAAACTAGCATTTGTCTCAGGAAAGATTTTAAATCAATGTGTGGTTTGTTTCTTGGTTTTTGGTTTGGTGGGGTTTTTTTGTGTTGTTTTTCTTGCAGACATCAGGTAAATTCCTTGTTACAATAAAAAAACCCCACTCAAACCCCCCTCAGCTAGAATGTACCATCCATTGTATAAATCTGTGTATCTACATCCCCAAAATTGTATGCCATGTTGATGACCCTGTCTGTAAAGATTACCAGAAAGATACAGAAAAAGATGACAGTAAGAGGAGAGGCTAACTACCACCTAGCTCAAAAAAGTCTGATAGGAACACTATAAAGTTCTAAAACCTTAAGTGATTTTGAGTAGGTAAATAACAATTTGTTGCTTGCTACTTCTCATAACATAAGAATAGACAATTTTCATGTGGTAGCATGTTTAAAATGAACACAAAAAGGATATGAAATACAGAGAATTTGTAGAAGTAATTTCTGCAAAAGTATGGATTGAGATTTAATTCCTGGGGGCTCAGTCTCTCTGTGGCTAATAGAACAATGGTCTAAATACAAGTTAGGCCTCAGGAAGTCACTAAGGTTCCTGTGGAACCCGAAAGAAATTATGTTGGTAGGACCACGTTGTATTTGCCCTATTTTTAACACGCCTCATGAACCATCTGTCATTCATCAGAGAGATAGGAGACTCGATTTAGAAGCAACTTTTGTCTAATTCCTGTTCATATCAACTTTGTACAGTCAAGGTTCTTAAACATTCTACATACCTAATTTCAACTGAAGCAAATACTTAAGCTTTTTGATATTTTTTAAAATTTTCCTGCTCTAGTTTCTATTTTTTTTTCATGTGAAGCAAAATTGTGTGTTTGTTTACTGTACTTTAAATTAAAATTACAGCTAACTTTGTCAATGGAGCAGCAAAATCAGAAGGTGGAGCATCTCCAAGAATAAGAAAATCAAAACCAGTATGAGATACAAACTAGTATCAGAAGACAACATTTGACAGAGGACTGTGACTTAAAAAATTGACACTGCAGAGCTATTATTTGGATGTCTTATTATTTCAATGGACTATCAGGTTATATTTTTAAAATATTTTTGTTAATAACCCTACATTTATGACAAGATTGCCTTTGATCTACCTTAACACAGTAGTCATCTCCAAATTTCACTTAGCTTTAGTAATGAAAATAGATGAATCAGTTTGAACTTCTGGTTCTGTGATCAGAAGTTATTACATTTCTGTAATATTTGCATTACAGATACTTCAGAAGGCTGTCTAAATCTAAGTTATCTGTCTGTTCATTTGTTTTTATAAAATCAAATTTCTGTACCAAAAAGATCTTACCATGTCTGTCTGTTTCCCACCTCTTCCCTCCCTCAAATTTTTTTCTTTATTCATCTTACATGGAGTAAGGTAGCCTGGTAAAAAAGCAAAAATGTTCTATACCTTATCTCTCTCTAAAAATTACAGATTTAGAGAGAGGGAAAATTCTGACAGGACATCACTAATCTTCCTTCAGTATAAAGGTGAGACTAATGTTTAGTAAAGATGCAAATTTTGTGCCTTGGGAAAAATGTTAGACCACCTGTTGGATTTTTGCAGTGGATTGGACTGTCTTGTATGGGGCAGGAGTGGGGGGTGGGCGAAAAGTAGCTAATTTGTAGTATAATCTTAGGCCTTGTGAAATAAAAGACAAAGCTTCCAAATATTTCTAAAGAGCCAATATTTCATGCTTGCAATCATGTGTGCCAGATTTTTTTCCTCAACTGTTTTTTTCCTTTAATTTATAACTGATACATCTTAAACTTCTGAGTCTACCTAGAAGATGTTAAGAGAGGTGCTCAAACAATATTGCAATGAATGTTCGCCAAACATATCCTAAAGGCTTTTTTCTTTCTTGTAGATAATAATTTATTTTAGTTTGACTCAAGGGTTTTAAGTCTATGGAAGTATTAATTTGCTCCTTATGTGAACAATTTATCTGGATATGATTTCAATATTAATTTGCGTATATTATAAAAAGATTAATGGTATTTTTGTAAGTAACCCTCATAGATCTGAGGCTGGCATCTCAAAGTTGGATAAGCTTCATGAACTCACTTTTTTACTTGCTGTAACTTTCTCCCTGTCAAATGGATTGTAGGAATATTACATTAGTTCATGTAAGCCGATAAATATCTACTGAAAATATTTGCCATGGAACTAGAATACACTTGCTAATATTTTTAATAAACTTGTATAATAATTAATGCCTTGTTTAATAAAGTATCATTTTTTGAGCAGTTTAGGTGAGATTTGCTTGGCCTTTTGAGTATTTCTCAGTATACTGCTCACAAGACAATGTTTTCTTTGATATATACCGTAACTGTAAACTTAGAGTCCCTGTAAATTGCAATTTGTGTGCACCTAAAGTTACCAGGCTTTCAAAGTGAATCCAGACAGCGGTTTAGGTGCCAGTATCCAATTCTATGCACATAAAAAGCAGGCAATTTTGAACTTTAAAGGGGTTTTTGTTTCAGTATTATCAGAAAATATGTTCCTAATACTGCCACTTGAATAAATTGATTGCACTCTTAAACATTTTTATTGCATGACACTCATTATGGTAATTTCAAAGATTGATTTTTTTCCTTTAAAGATTGTTTATTTTATTTAAATTATTATTTTAGAAATACAAAGCAAGTATATGTATAGTTACTGTTGTATTCCATGTACACATATATTTGATGTAAGAATCTCCTCCTTACAACATGATTTTTTAAAAGGAAAATCACTATATGTTAAATATTTGGATACATACTTACGGTAACACCAAATACATTAAAGTAATTCTACGCTTGTTATTAGGAAGATGTTTCAGAAAACTGTTTGCAACAATAAGTCAGTTTTAATTTATTTAAAATACTGCTCCTGGAAATTTCAGTGTAATTACAGATATGAAGATAGTTCCATTGAATTTACAAATAAAGAAAATTAGCAGGTTGGTGTAACAAGTAGTTCATTAACAAAAAAACAAGTGTATATACTTTTAGAAGTAAACTGAATTGAGGCAGTAGTTCTTACGACTTTTGTTTTTCATTGGCTTGCTAACAGCCTGTGAAAGCTGAAATGCAAAGTGGTTGTTAAGTCAGATGATGATGAAGATGGTTTCTTTTTCTTTAAATGTCATATTTCTTCTTTCTGGCTGAGTGGGAATGAGGAGTCAGGAAAGTAGAATGAACTCAGGTGAAAATGATAAATTCACAGGAGTACTTGCTTGGTGTATTTTAAGCAACAACTTTTGGCTTTTTAAATTTACAAGACTAAGATGATTCTGAGCTTATCTCTGCAATTACTTTTTAAACTCCTTTTACACTGTTTAAATTAAAATTTGTTGGTTTCTTCCATGGTTAGAAAAACCTGCCATGTTCAGGAATTTTTCCCATGTGTTAAGCATAGTATTTTATAGGGAAGGTATGAGACATAGGTCATCAACTATGAAGTCCCAAGTGCTTGACAATCCTCTTTAAATTGTAGCTTTCAGAACCAAAATGTCTAATGTCTTTGAACCAACTTTTCTCTAACCAAATACTTAAACCAATTCCAAAGCCCATATGCCATAGCAAAATCTGAGGCCAAGCCAGGCATTTCGTTATGAAGTCAGTAACACAAAATGCACAGTAGAATTTTCATACAGAAGTGCTCAGCTGAATGACACCTAATTAAAGCCAAATCTAAGCCAAGGGTAATGAGTATTGCAAAGTCATGTTTGTCACAAAGAATCTTCAAAAGTCTTGGAAACACAGGTCCTAAGTGCCATGAAATAGATAAGTCAGCAAGCTGACGCTTGAGGTCTAGGATAAAGACTGCAGCATGTTAGGGTTATGTTTGGTGGGGTTTATTTTCTGGATTTTTTTTTTGTTGCTGTTGCTGGTTGGGAATTTTTTGTTGTTATTTAGATATCGCTTTGTCAGTTTTTTGAGAAATAAGCTGACTGTATTAACTTTTTTCAATATTATGAATGTCACGTAGAGTAACAATCAAATTGGACACTGATTTCTTCCTTTCAACCATACAGCTTTTGCTGAAGTTGCATAAAATCTGTCAGCACCGACATTGAGGCATGTTCCCTACTGATGAAATATTGTAACAAATGATCCTATTAAGCTTGTTTTACATTTATTGTAAGATTTTAATTTATGTAAATCATAAGACTGTCAGAGCAACTGTATGTTGTCACAATCCAATTCATCTAAAGTTAATTCATCTGTCAGAAGTCCTTTGCAAGTAGTCATGTGCACATCAAAATATAAAAAAATTACTGTGCGTCTGCTTTGGGAAATCAAAATTAGGTCCTCTTACTTTTAACCTTTCTTTCTTCCTAGTGAGTATGTAAGAGGTGTTGTATCTCCTAAATATTCTTTTAAAGATAAAAGGAAGGGCATCTTCTAGGCAGTGCAGAAAAGCTTATGTTATAAATCTGTATCTCTGTTTTTGAAGTGTGTAATAAGAATGAACAGATTGTCTTGGTTTTAAAAGCAGAGTTACAAGAAACCTTCTTTAGCTGATACAGTTTATGTTCTCTTCTTACTGAGGTTTTGAGTTGGCCACAGGAAGTGGAATAGAGTGGAGGTTGTATGGTGGCATAGTGATGTGGACAAGAGTGGTGCTCCTGCCTGCTCCTGTTCAAGTCCACTAAAATCAGTAATCATTCAGAGTAGGTTCTAAAAATGCAGGATGTTGTCTGGGAGATGGAGTTTTAAGCAAGTTTACACTGTTTTATGTGGGGATTTGTTGATTGTTTAATGTATAATCAATAATCCATAGCACAAGACCCATGTTTTCAGTGTATATAAGATTCTGATTATTCATTTGATAAGCGAATAAGCTAAAGAAAATTTCTCCATTTTAAAAAAAAAAGTTATTATCTAATGATGTATTTCCGATGCATCTCATTTTACTCTATAATTTTGTTTCATTTCCTGTGTTGCCATTAAATAAGCTGTTTTATTATTATGCTAAACCAATTACTCTTGATAGTCTGGTCAGGCAGATTAGCCACACAAACTGCATTGCTAGTCTAGGAAGAAGGTACGTATGTATTTTGCATTTATTTAAAAAAAAAAAATAATCAAAATATACTCCAGTTCTTCAACACTCTTAGCCATTCCCATCAGCATTGGTTTTCTTTGCTTCTTACTCTATGCTTGTTGATCATAGTGGGGTGTTTTCCTGTCTCTAATCAGAGAACAATTTACATGAGCCGAAGAAATGGGATATTTCTCTTGCACTACTTGTCCAAACACAAATTGATCTTGGAAAAGTCAGGAGATGCATCAGTTATGTAGAGAGATGCCCATGTGGAAGAGAAAACATTTTTTTTGAGAAGAATAATAGATGATGGAAGATGATGACTGACTGGGTTATTGTCACAATAAATATCAATGGCAGTGTCCAAAAAGTAAGCTATGGATCACATTTCCCCAAGTATGTGCTTCCATTAGCCTCTTTTTTGACTGAGAAAATGTTGAGATCACATTGGATTTCACTAGTGTGTTACATAAATACAGCTTAAAGTCAAATATGTCTCTTGTGTACGTATTTGGCCAAATTTTTACTACATTTAGGCTTCTAAAGATTGCTCTAAAAGAAATATGCACCAGCAGGTGGAGCAAATAGATAAGAATGTTAAGTCTTACGGTTCTACAGCTATGTTTACTATGATCAGCTTTTAAGACAAGTACAAAAGTTTGGGGGGGGTGTCTTACTTTTATAGAACATCACATATCAATGAAATGTGAAAACACTTTATCACTGTATCCTTCATTATATAAAATCAGAGCTAACTGAAGTTATCCGTTTATGGTTGCTATAATGGAAAACAGAGGTTAAAAGGAAAAAAAAAATACACAATATTTGTACTCTATTGACACCCTAAGTTCTGTATCATTCTTGAGTCTAAAGTGTCATAAATGCAATGTAAGTACA